CCCATTCTATTCTCCATCTTGCTAAAAGGTCTTCTAAACCAAATACGAGGGCCGGAGAAATCAGCCTTCACCTTGCACGCAGATGACTTATTTATACACGTCGATTAGGTTTCAAGCGTGGCAAACTCTAGTTCAGTTCCATGCGGCAATCATACATTTGGGACCGACTTTAGATACGACTAAAACGAGGGGGATGATGTTTTGTAGGAAAGGTAGGATAGCGGCTACTGATATATTGTATTTCGCCAGGTCACCTGTTTACGTAAAGCGATTTCCGTGATCGGCGTTGCTCTTTTCTGTCAGAAACGGAGTTTCGCCACGCACGTGACCGAAACATGCAAAGACAGACAGTATTGATTATATGGGCGATGGAATCGTCTTATTGCCTGCCTTTCACAGCCGGCCCTTACTTGTTCAACAGTAATGTATGTATTGAACATCATTTGAGAAAATCCTACAGCGAAAAATCGCAAATAATTAAATCGCATAAAGGCTTGCGTGCTCAAACGGGCAGTGAGGCTATACATAGTCATCCAAAATCACCTCGCGTAGCCCCTCGTCGACTCGCCAATACGGCCCGAGGATCTACGTCGTAGCTTTAAGCTCCCAGCAACGGGAGGTTCCAAGAACCTTGGAAGCTAAAAGCGAAAATATGCGGAAATCTTTGCTTCGAGTGTAATAAGGAACAACGAATGGAAAGAAATAAAGCAGTTAAACAGAAATGTCGTCACTCGCATTGCTATTCGTGAGTTCCACCACAGACTCTGCAGAAAACCAGGTCTTCACGAGCCTAACGACACATGTAGATGCTACAGATGCGGCAGAAATTGGAATTGATCATGCCGCTTGTTACCCTCTGGTGACAGCTCTAGGGTATCTGGCATATCTGTCAAATTAGTTACATAAACTCAACATTGACTTGTATAATCCATGTGACGCAAAGTATTTTAAATGGTTCTATATATGTTCCCTGATATTGGAATATTATGATGTTTTTCAAATAGACTAACCTGAGCGACGATCCAAGCGGCGTTCCGACGCCGTAGCCTTTGGCATCAAGGTTTCCGCCGACTTTCATGGTATCGCAGGGACGGCGCTCATTGATGTAATCGTTTTTTGTAGACTCCATTAAAAAGGCGTACTTTCCTTTAGATTCACGCACTCTTTGAATACCTTGCTCGTAGGTTGCAGCAAACACGTTTTTTCGAGTATGCATAAACTCCCACATACGCGCATATACGGCGATCTTCGATTTCTAAACAGATAAGTTGAATGGAATGAAATCGAGCAATAGAGCGATTAGAGAAGGTGAAACTCATTTGAAGCTCAAGTGATGACGTATGCGGGGTGAACTGCAAAAACCTGAAGAGTTTCCAATGAAAGTTCTATTACTTACTGCTATAGAAGATGGATGCTGTGTTGCCCAGGCAAAATCCGTCGGCACAGATAATTTGATCATAGTAGTCTGCCTTGCCTAAGGTGTGATAGCAAAGCCACGATTGACTTCGCACTAAACTCATTACATTTGGTAAAATAAAAGTTGTTTGGTCAGCCGTCGTCGACAATGTAGAAGATTGTCTAAGAAGGTAAGAACCTTTGGGAGTTCCATGAAGGTTTTTCTGGGCTTGCTCAATCGATCGCGCTCCGAGGATAAATAAGTTCTGTAACTCTGTTTGCGATCATAATGGGGTCCAGTTTAAAAACTGGCGGGCTACTGGTCATTAAAAAAAAGCTTATCGACATCTAAAGCCAACAAACGTGTTATGACGAACCATAAAAAGCCAATCGGTGGAACTAATGCGTTCGTGATATGAACGCAAGATTGCTGTATCATACCGTCATGTACACGATTTCTGAAATGTTTTGTAACAGTTGACACAGTTCATTGGTACCTCAGAAAGTCGCAAAATAACGAAGCTTACCTCTCGAGTCTATGACTAATGGGTTTGGTTTTCAAGCAAGTCAGTAAACCATTCATAGCGTGATACTAAGGCTTAATAAAAGGAGCCGTCAAAGTATCCGGTTGCTCTGTCTAGGAAAGTCACCTGGCGTCTGTATTATGTTAATAATCGTCTGAGTAAAATTATGAGAACTCAATATAACGTATGGACCACTATACTTTATATATACAGTACCTCATAAACATACTGTTAGTTCTTGTCACTCTGGCGGCTGACTTCATATATATTTCACACGCCGAAATCTTTAAATTTAGGTTGGCTAGTGTTAGGTTACTGCGGCTTGCCCCCGCAACTTCATTACCTAAAACGAGCAAGTAAATATTAAGGCTAGGTGTCATTAAATCCTCAGCTGAAGATGTTAGAAATCCACATGCTAAACACGTTGACGCCCTGCGAACAACCAAAGCAGATGGGGCTAAACGGAAAAACGAAATTCACGTTCGAAAATAAACAAATCACGTTTTCTAATTTCGAAAATTGCGAAATAAAATTGAACAAATGTTCCATAGGCCGGGCTTTCTGGCACAGTACCCACTGCTGCACGATCGGTCATATCCCAGAAAAGAAATTCTCACTTGACTATTGCAATTGTAAACGAGTGTCACATCATTGTATCCTACATCGGCTGTGGTTTACCAAGATGTAAGTTATAGTAACTAAATAATAGTTCATCAAATAAATACTATATTAAAAGGCATATAAATGATAGTCGTTAAGATAAACAAAGTGGATTTTGCGGCGGTAATAAAGTTCCTAAAGCCACATCGATTTCAATGGGATGCCTGGTCCTAATCCTCAGGCATATCCGAAACGGCCCGTTGAACGGAGCACTTCCTCATATCCATTAAACGTATGATATATATTAAGTTTTTTGTATTATGATCATATAGTTTTTGGCTATATTTCTCTTGTGTGTAAAAAAATGTCACCTTTTTAGCACTATTACCGGGACCGACCTGCAGGGCTCCGCCTGCACTGTAGATTTTTCTCATCATATCGATGCAGTTACGTTACCGGTCGTTTCTATCATCCGTTTATATCACAAATAATAGTTTGCGGTCCCTGGAACTAAGTTTACCAAGGGACTGGCTTCAGCTTCCTAACAGATTCTCAATGTGGAGACAAACCAGATAATTTTGGTCGTCTATTTTACGCGGTCACGCAGTGCCCTCATAAATATATCTCGACAACTCTGCATATCGATGAGTCTGTTTAGATTAGATACCTACCCTTGAAGAAACATACATTTCTAGAATATTTATATATAATACTATAATAAAAAATGAAATATCTATTCGTATAATAAGTTTAACACTGAAAGAAGCAGGCCACCCTTTAACAGACGAGGTCGGCTTGCTGTATGTGGTAGGTGAAACAGAAAGTTCCGGTGATTGGCTGGAATAGTTTTTGATCTGACACAAGTGGTGTGCTAAGTATTTATGAATTATACCTATAAGAAAGGTGTGTGCATATATATGTAGAACTACTTTTCCACTGCTGTCTTTTTTTTGTCACACGTTCGGAAAAGGTATATCCTGTACCTCCAATTACAATCGTACGAAATATGTAGGATGTTTTAGAATACAAACGCACCCAAATATGCGTTGCTACAATTAGCAATCATTGAATTCTGACAGCACCTGAGAATCAGAAAGATTCACGAACCCTGGGTAAACAGGCGGGTTACGCCTAGTAATTACGAACTAGTAAGAGGTTATTTAAACATTATACAAAATAATTAAAAAACTACTTTATAAATATTTCTGAAAGAAAAGCTGCGCTTCTATAAGTACGATGAAGCTTAAAACTCACCCCACAGATTGAAAAGGCTAGTGAAGCTCGTATGTGTGACAACTTTCCTACATAAGAGATTGAAAGCTGATTCTGTGTCACTTGTTAACAAGACTGTGAATATGCTTACTTACCATACTTAGCCTCTATACCACTTAGGCTACTAAATGGTATATAAGCTACCTGGTAACGCAAGTTCTACTAAAATGAATAAAGAAATCCTCTTACCCTAAAGAAATCTTGCGTAGACGAGGATTCAAGTGTGCCGTACTCGACCTCCGTTTGCTTAGCGAGATCGTCCGCAGAATTGATAGGCGTCACCATGCGTTCAACAGTAAGAAACGCAGCCAAGTTGGCAGTATACGATGAAATGATGATTAGCGTAAAAAACCACCAGACGCCCCCGACAATACGGCCGGATACTGATCTAATGAAGACATTCATCCAGGAACAAATAGAAAGCAGATCGAAAAAGCCAACACGTGGTCAGAAGCCGCTCACGCATGTCATCATCATCATCATCTGAGCGGACGCAACTAGCAAACAGCCGGCGAGTTGTGAAGCCTTCTATTGGATACAACTATTTATTAAGATGTTCTGCATATGGGTATTGATTTATTTATAGGTTGCTGCTAGCATGATTAGACAGGTCAACTTTGATCGCAAAGTCCGTTCCCTTGATAGCGCCAATAAAAACTTTTTTTACTCTGATTAAAATCAGTCAAATAAAAGACAGCGTAGTCAGCGAGGAAGGCGCAGCGGCGGAATTGCGGCATTTATACAATGGCACGTGTTCCTAGTCGTCACTGGTAATACTACAATACAATCACTCGATGAATGTCACTAGTCTGCTTAAGACTGTTAGTGCTACCGTTTGTCTAGATTGGAAAGCTGAACCAATGTAAATCCACCGCGTGCATATACATCAGTCAGCCTAGAAGACCAGTGTGACGTTTCGTTTGTTCGCGTTTTGAGAATAACAATAATCAGAGATACTGATTACCCTAAAAACCGAACTAGCGTCTATTGAATCGTCTCAGCTCTCCCAGTCATTCATTGCCATTGGCGCGGCGGCACTTTTTAGCTTGTCATCTCAGAAACTCCTGCTAGACCGTTTTGGACTATGAGCCACAGGGATATAAAATCTTATCAACTGAAATAGGTGCCCACTGATCCTAGGCGGCTCGTTGTTGAACCATGTTACCATGATCGTTTATCATTTGATATATTAACCGAATGGGTGAAGTTCTCGATTCGAAAGCATTTGGAGTGTGTATGCATCTCATTGTTGTGACTCGTTTTACTACTTCGTCGCGGAATGCGTGCCATGCCCCGTTACTGCCTACTACAATGAAGTCTGGCTTATGTGTTTAGTGTAGCCGTACAACGACCTCGCTCGACCGATAGATGAATACCCTGAAGCCTTTTGAAGTGATGTCTAGTTCACTGAGCTATCATATGGGAGACTTTACGTCAACGGTTGGAAGCTTAACAAGGCCAAGGAGAAACGTTAAGGTTTCTGATGTCTGCAACGCCATAAAGCGTTCCGAGGAAGGGTGGCTTTACACAGCTTTTTGGGATAGACCTTGTCACAAGTCGTTAAGCCGCCCTAGCGCGGCAGGAAAAGTGCTCTGCTCAGGACTGGATCGCACTATGGGAAGGGGCTTTCTCGATCAGAGAGGAAGGCGGACGCCGTTGCATCGAAATGATTTTAGGAATGATAACGGCAAGGGTGTTCGAATGGCATCAAAGATTGGGAGTAAGACGAAAACACCCGAGGCGCTTCCGCCCCTGGATTCCGGACGAACTGCGTCGTGAGCCACTGTTCGATTGAAAGCAACACAACGAAAGAAACCCGAAAGGAAGCCAAGACAAAAAAGCGCAGCTGTTGAAACGGTCCATCGAGCCTGTGTAAATGTAAGCTACGCTCCGTTCTTCAGTCGTTACTATCTAGGCAGTCGTGCACACACAGTTGTACATTGCAATGTTTGTACACACAAGAATAGCGACAGTTCACCGCCGGCTCCCGACTTTCGAAGTTTCGGAAAGGACCCTTGGCTGGAAAGAGTAAGCAGCAGCAGCAGCAGCAGTAACGTGCGTAAATACGTAATAGCAGTGCGGCAGGTTGTAGCCGCGCCAGGTAGAAAGCCAACATAAGAACTTCAAAGCACATATTACGCGCAGGAAATAACCGGAGCTCACTGCTCACTAGTATATTGCCTTGTTGCCAGTTTCAGGTTTCCTTCTGACGTTTTCTTCGTTCTCTGACTTTTCTTTCCACGTAGTTGAAGTCGACATGCTGAAGCGAAATAGGCAATGAGTTGTATAAAAGGAACAAGCGCAAAGGGAATCAACAGGACTTTGCGCCGCATTCGAATTCTGACGAGAAGCTACAAGGGGTTGAAGACAAGTAGCTCTGTGAAGGCACCTTAGCAGACTCTCGACAAAACATGTCCTTCAAGTACGGTGCAGATGTAGCGTGTTCGTCATAGCTTAGTGATAGTAATAGCTTTTAATTCTACGCGCTAAAAAAAATAAAAATAAAGCCACGAATTATCTTTGTGAACGATAGCCCAGGCGTTTGCTGATCGTACAAATGATTGGAAACGCTATCACTTTGGTTATCAAATATTGATGTCCAAGCTGTAATGGCCGCCATAGTGGTCTATAATATATAGGGTAGTCCGACTAAGTGCGAGCACCTGAAAAGGAGCTCTATTTGCGGTTTAAAATAAACTTCTAGGAACAATATGGAAAAAAACTAGCGTTAACGCGTTCGTTATCTTGCATTAAGTCCTGGCTACTACAAGTTAATTGCTAAATATTCCTCTTTCTGCAGCTGTTTCAAAGCAGCAATCGTAACGCTTGACAAATAGTTTATTGTATGACGCGCAAAAACTACAGTCGCTTATCTTAAAGTCTCCTTCAGTACGAAGTAATTATATAATATAATATAACGATGCAATAGGAGGTCGTGAGGAACAAAGGACATATCGACTCTTGTTTCCTCGCACGCGTCTGACCATGCAATCGACATTTGCCTAACGACGATGAGCCTAGTATAAACTCCAATCAAGGTGCTGTTTCTTTTATAACAAATAACATAAAGAATAACTAACGAAATAATTCTTCCGTTGGTAGTTCGTATTGAGAGATGTTAGTGGCATGGGTGCAAAAACAATTGATGCTTGAATGTTCGTGACTGTGCGTTTAAGAACATGTAGCGCTGGCGGATCCGTATAAATATAAAGTGAAATGACAATCTGCTTTCTAAGTTAAGATGTGATAAGTGACTCTTAAGGTGATCATATAAAGTTGCAAAGCTGCTTTTATGTACGAAGGCTGTGTACATACACACGATTTATAACTGTTAATTGTTGACTTAAGTAGTGTCCACTCTGTTCTGTTTCAGTGTTCTACCTTGGACAAATGTCACAGCCCTGCTGCATGAACGCCCCCAACGAGAACCAGAGGCTGTTGTATAAAGAGAAGTCGTTGGAGACGGTGGGTCCGACGAAGGTCTCCTCGTAGCGCCATTCATGGGGCGAGAATCGTGAGACGAGAAAGAGAACGACGGACACGCCAACGTACGCGAAGATGATGCACATCCAGATCTCACGTGATAGAGGATTCATAAACGAGAACACGCCTGGCTTTTTTTTCATTGGTTTTTTTATCATAATGCTGATACCCAGTGACATGAAGGGTTTTGTGAAATCGATTACTCGTTCACGCGCTGACGTAATTGTCAACGGGGCGATAGCCATGTCCGCTTCCTGCAATAGTCAAAGATTTCTAATATTACATTTCACAAACGCAAACACCAAAGAGGTCTAATTAAAAATAACGCATTCTTATTAACTTGATCGAATTAACCGGAGACAAAACTAACGTACTGGTTTCAAACCCCGTCAACATGGAGCTTACAATGTAAAGAGCAGAGTTCACCATTTTCTGACAAATGGCCCAGAAAGTTTCCCATTCCTTTAGTTGGGTCATCTGTTCTGCCTGCTTGTCCCTCTATCTTTGTGTCGTCACTTTTTGAGGCAGTATAAGGCTTATTCTTCATCAACTCTCTCTTGATGCAGCACTCGTCAGGTGTCTCCTGTCTCCGTCACCTTGTCACTTGACAGGGTAACAGCCGTTACGCTGTCCCGTCTCATGGTTATTCCTTTTTCCTAAAAAGCTGATTACGCTGACATGCGCAAGTCTCCCGCAACATCAAAGCTTAACGAGGCGATAAAAATTACTGCGACATGTTCAAGCAAGCGGTGTGTGAAGAAAAAAAGTACGTTGCTGGACTTGCGGGGCGTAGTTGAATCGGTGGATTGGCAATGGGAAGAGAGTAAAAGGTAACGGTAGTGAGAGAGATACATATGGTAGACAGGAATGGCACAAACGGAAGCTATATAAACGCAAGTTACCAAGGCGCAGAAAGATACTTGAAGGGTAATCAGAGACCTCGTGATGTCGACAAAACTGTGGTTTGAGAAAAACACAGGTTATTAAAGCCATCACAGAACAGGTACAGCGCTGGATCGCAACAACCCTGAATAGCACCGTAGCCTTCATGTATCACTCGTCGGATAGCAAAGCAAGCTTATACATTAGCACGTAAACTAAGGAAAACTAAGTGGATTGACGCTGAGGACCCTTGATGTCAAGATACTGCTAGACGCAGAATTGGAATACGTGTTGCCCATCCTAATCGACGCCATTCTCGACTGTCCCAGGTAGTTTCAGAGCTCCTTCAACTAGAAACGCGGTTTTTTCTTTTCACTTGAGCGAGCCTTCTACGACCATTGACGGTAACGCAAACCTGCTTTGGTGATATGAAATGATCCCGGGCTGCAAAATGTCAAGTAGTCAGAAGACGAAGCCGTCCAACATGACATGGTAGACATTGATGACTGGGAGCTGAAAGCACACCGGGGCGACAACGGTCTTCGAGTAAAGTCCTCTTCTAGGTAGACGAAAAAGTAAAGACATAGACTGCGTCACGGTACGTACGTTTCTGATGAGCTCTCCAACCATTCCGTTCCAACCGGACTCCGAGTCGGCGCTTTGACCTCCATATTTTCCGTCTTTGACTAGCCGCAACTCGTACGTAAAGTTGAGCTTTTCGGCGATAAGGTCGGCCAAATCTTTGCAGTAACCTTCGAACTGCGAATTGCCGGTAAGATTAACGCCAGGCTCCATTTTGCGTCGCATTAAGTACGGCTCTTCCTGCAATGACGATTCGACGATGAACGGATACTTTGGGAAAATAGCTTAAACCATGGCTCGTTGCCACGTTTCAAGCAAAAACTAAGTACTCGATGGCTAGTTGTGAGGGTTGTCTTATGAATCGAGTGAAACTAAGACAATCCGCATGACCTAGAGAAATAACAAGTCCTTGATAAAGTCGTACTGTATTGTGATTTTTTTCACTCTAGTACTTGAAAAAGACCCATTGTGTCGAAGTTTAGGCATCATATTAACATTAATATGAGTAATATGTTAAAACGCTTATCGTCTGTTGTTTCTATTAGTGTATGCGTGCTATTCGAAACGTTTAGCCAACCTTTTATATTAAGTTAGGGCTACTTACAAGAATGCTGGTTACGATGTAAGTTTTATTAGATTTGAACCCGCTGTCGACAAAAATCCTGCGATATTTGGGAGCGGCAAAAACAAACCCCATCTGTGAATTCCATTCGGCGATCTGAAATGGTAATATTATAATTGACTGAAACATTCGCGCAAAGGCGGCAACCATGTATCTCTCAACCCCTGTTTGAGCGTTTCACAGAAACAGAGTTTTCGATACTTTTTTCAGGTAATGTATACTTTGCGCTCAAATTTGTACTTCATAATGCGGTAAAAGGAGCGTTAGATTAAAACGTATTTTATATGTCGACAAAAGCGGTATCGTGTTATTACCTAATGTCGATGATCCTCGACCGGAATGGCTCAGCCCCATGGACAGTGATGAGGGTCATGATAGTTAGACGGACAAAAAGCGCCTGCTTTTATCCATCCCTCTACATTTTACTCATGTCACTGGACCACTCTCCATACTTTCTCATATCAACTCAAGACCACAAACTAGAAAACTCTGTATAAATACAAATTCTTTGAAGAAACCTTCTTGCCATCCTTGTTTTGGTCTGTAGCTTGTATCTCAGATATATAAAGAGGCAGTTTGGCTTGCGTCAAGCCTTTTCTGCATCTGGCAGTATGGACCACGCGACTTCAAGGAAGAGCAACTACGTTAATTTAGATAAAGTGGATTGAATTATGGCAAAGGGTCAACATCTCATTTTATAAATTTGTTATTTCTGAAAATTTAAAGCTAAATACGGATATAAATAGAGCTAAACACGGGATCTTCATGGCAAATTTGTGCAGGACTCCAAACAAATTTTGAATCGTATCTAACTTTAAGCTAAAATCCCCAACAAAAGAAATATTGCAGATCTGACCATCCTCTAACGTTTTCTGTTCAGAGTTGAAGGTTAAGGCTTAAGCGTGGTTTGGAATAGCGTTGAGAGTTTTTTTATTAAGGATATGAAAAACATTACGTCGTATTGAGATATTTATATTTATAATGTTTGAGACTTTTCCTATTGTTTTTGACAGACTCTAATGTTAAACACTTCTAGATCAATACACTGCTTATTGTTTGACTTTTTTTTTATCGGGATGACGTGATAAAGCAGAGTCATGACATAAGATCACATCAAACTTATCGGCTAACTAATTTTTCTTTAATCTATTGTGCATAAAATGAAAGTCGAAAATCTGAAAATTGCTAAGGTTGGTTTAAAAAAATAGTACTTTTTTGAATATAGGCTACGGGAACCACAAAATAGTGCGCGGTGGTTTGGGGAAACAAACGAAAACTAACTGTTCTGGCGTAATAACTCCGCATGCATTATGATTATGACTGGAAGAATAATAATAATGTAACAATAATGGCTAGAGATATCTAGCCCCATAAATCGGGGCAAATTTGAAAAACCTAATACATATATCAGTTTATCGATTTATATAAAAATACTGTAATAAGATAACCGTCGTAAACTGGATTGATTAGCAAAAATGCATAGTTATTTGATCAATCATATTTTCTACAGTTATTACTCTGTGCCGCACCGTCAGTAAACTGAGGTTAGTCTGCACCCCTATGGGGGAGATAAAGCTTTTACGGGTCGTGGCTTTAAGGGCAGTCAAGCAGCAAAAGGTCAGCATCAGCGCTTCTATTACAAACTCGAGATAGTTTCTTCTAATTTTTAGTGTGAACGAGCCAGTTGCTTGTTTGTCTTCTACTAATGCAACATCACGAACCGGCTTTGAAACCATTCTGAGACTCGAAGAAGTCAATTCCGGGTGCACGTATGCCTACCACTAATCGTTGTTAGGAAAAGTCATTGATATTTTCTCTTAACAAAATTATTTTAACCGTATCTGTCGAATAACAAAACTGCATGAAAAAACATTGACAGCACTAAGATTGTAATGGCAATAATTGTGTTGAGTAAATGTGGCCACGTATACTTATATATATATATACATATATATATATATATATATATATATATATATATATAAATATATATATATATATATATATAAAGAGAGAGAGATCATATAAATTACTTGCGGTTTGTTTGATCCTTTCCATCGACGTTTTCCGGTTGGCCCATGTTGATGTATATTTTTGCCTTGCAAGCTTTAAATTAGATGCATTCTTAGACAACATTCTTCTTCATTATTCTCGCGCCGAAGACAAAAAGAATCGTTTGCGGAGTCGAAGGCACGCGTGCAGTAAGCGTCACCACTATCTATTTGATCGCCCTAAAGCCGGAGATTTTAATTTAGATGACACTCTATACTACTAATAGTTACTATGACTAAAGGCATTCTCTAACTAACATGCAACGCAGTCGATTGAAAGGCTCTCTATACAGTTAGGGCCCATATAACTGTTATTAATTATCTGTATGCATCAGGAAAATCAGAAACAAGAAAAACTGGTGCCTCGTTAACTCAGTAAAAACGATAAAAACAAACCGTCAGACAATGTGCCCTTTGTTGCTTACACGATAGAAAAGAAAGTCGTCTTTGTATCAGGTGGTGAACGGTGATGAAAGATTGATCTTCTATGAGATTCCTGGACGCAAATCAGGATAGTTAGACATCGCACAGCTTTCCAATTCCAATTGTGGTTAAAAGCTGCACATCTGCATACATATATTGGTGGAATTCGAAGGGAGTATTATACTATGGCCTACTTACAGAGGACAGTTACGCAGATCAATTCGTCTGTCTGACCCAAAAGATTGACAACAAAAGCCTGTGGCCGCGAAGTGATATTGCTCCATAACAACACTATAACGCGTACCGTTTGGTGACCCGATAAGCGTCAGCGAAATTCAAGAATATCGCTTGTTCAGTGTTGTGTTCTGTCTTTACTAAAGCTAGAAGTAGAGGTCTTACGACCGAAAACAATGTCTCAAACTAGGACTATGTGTTTGGCCTTGTATGTGTCATGCTAAAGGGTCAAAAAAGTGTGTCACAAAAGGGTCGGTATGAATAGTCCTGACGAAAGCACCCATCGAGATTACTAACCCATTCTTGAAGTGCTGTTTATCAGTTTGGTCTTAATATGTTTATAAACACTTACGTTTGCTAGTTCTTTATATGATACGCATAATTTAGGATTTAGTTAGAAAACAAAATTTAGCTCTTTTTCTATGATTGTCTAGATAACAAGCTTGACACGCGTGTAGAGCTGCTTACATTTTGGCAGTCATTCTGTTCCTAATAGAAAAAGGTATCTATGAGATTTAGAGGCCATGAATTACCTCTATAGTATAAAAATGAACCTAAATAACTGTCGTTGCCTTAGAAGGGCGTACGATATCGATGTTAAGTAGATAAGACTTTATTAGAACGATTCTGTTGCTTGCAAGTTAGAATTCACAGGAATTTGAATTGCTTAGAAATTCTTCGCAGTAGTACTACATCTAAACTTGAATCTTTTCCCATAAGCTGTTGCTAAGACGATGCTTGATAAAAACAGATATTTTAACTTAATTTTTGGCAAATTCAATCTAATCATCATTCACCGCTATTACGTTTTCGGTACGAGATTTAAATCACTCATTAGTCGTTTTCAAAATATTCTTTTGCAAATAACTTGTTAATGATAAGCCTGCGTCAATCGTTGATAGACATAAGCTTGTGAAAATGTCGCAATGAAAAAAATGACGGCGGAGAGAAATTTCTAGCCGACAAAAGGTCGAAGGCTGACAAAAAATGCAACGGCTCGAAGTGGCCAATAGGTAGACAAGATGTAAAAAAATACAATGTCTCAAAACGGCGAATTGCTAACGAACGATTCGGTTGATAACTAATACTATCCTCTTCATAAAGGCCCTTAATTTCTATATCAAAAACGGTCCCTTAGGCCATTTTAATGAATTCTCGGCCCCTGTAAACTTTGTTAAGGATCTTTGGATTTGTTCCGTGAAATTTTGTTGAATCGTTTATGAATCGCATAAAAATTGGCTAATGTAAAGCATCGGCTTCACGGATAGAAGAGAGTTAATAATCCTGGTGAAGGCTTGTTTCGCTAGCATATTCGATGAGAGCCGGTCTTCAGTTAAGTCCTCAAAACGGTGCACTGTTTTTCACCGTGATGAGTTTGTTTTTGATTGTGGAAGAAACTGGCCTTCTTCTCGTACTAAAAATGATGAATGAACATAGGCTTCCTACCTTCAGAATTTACCTGATTATGAATGTCCTATCTTGCGTATATTGTCAAGCGATAGATGAAACAAAACCTTAATTACTGCAAATTTGATCTAACTCTCCAGTGATAAAAACAGTTTTAAAACCCAAGAAGAAAGCCACTTTATGTAAGGCTCATTCAGTTGCAAGGTGCAAAGTACAGTCAAGGTAACCTCCATAACGAATGGCACATGCTCAATGCATTGCGTATTTAAGCGCATTAACCGAATAGGTCTAACTAATTGCAAACAAAGCCAAGCTTCAACATTGAGATGATCATCTACTATAACTGCAATTCAAAGTTAAAGTTATATATGGTAAGGTTCATTACATTGAAAAAAAAAAACTATTTATTCGATCTTAGACATTAAACATTAGATCTTAAAACTGTCATCTTTCACCAGTCAGGCAAGTTGGCTCCCGTACTAGTCGATAAAGATCTTTAACTATACAAGCATTATCAGAATAAGTATTTTAGAACATGCTGCGATGGCAATTGAATTAGTATGCCCTGGTATTATTTCTAAGCTTCTATGCGTCAAAGGAACCTAACCCTTCATTAAGTTAAAATTTAGATCCTTTTCCTGGAGCGGAAGTAGCATCTATAGCGCGACATGTTGAAATCAAATCAATATGAGCAAGAAAGAACCTCTCCCCCAAAATCTTTGCGATTTCCTGGACGGAGACGCGGCGCGTACAATCAACGTGAAAACCAATCTCACACGATTTAGCTACTCTTCACAGATCGTCTAACTTACTGTGGTGAGTTCACTGTTGACGGTAACTTCGACAATATCAACTGTGTAGTTCGACCGTAATCCGTACGGGTCAAACGAAATGTTCCCGCTCAGGCCCCGTATTCCTTTGATCTGAAAAGATCAAAAACGAGTTAAATAATTTATGAATCAGAGCGCGTTACAAGTGGGTCATGCTCCCGGCTCCTTTAAGTTGGCAAACTGCACGGCAGCAGACCTGTATAAAATATCGAGCTACTGCTTGCAGTGTATTTTCATTTTTAGCAAATGCTATAGGAACCTTTTTCGATACTTTTGGACAAAAATGAAATGTACGATTACACAAACTGTATGGTATAAAAACAATATACAGAAGATGAAGCTTCCGTTTGTAATCAAAAATGGACACTTCAATATTTTTTTCTTGTATATGCTAAATCATTCATTAAAGACATTTATTTCGATTCCATCTTTCATTTAAGCCCTAAACCGCGAGCAAGCCCATTTCGACGTGCCTTTTGCAGTTCCTCCAACGCCTTTTGATAATACAAGTGGGTGTGTCCACTGTGTTATGTGGATACTTTTGGTGCTTTCACTCAATCACCCGCCGCACAATAATCCAATGGATTAAAATCTGAACGACACAGCGGATATATATGGTCATCCTAGGATATGTTCAGATACTTAAGCAGCTTGTCCTGCACTAGCCGGCTGACGTGACCAGGTGCACCACCCTATTACCCCCTACATCCATGCTCTTATATAAGCTTAACAGAGCACTCGGATAAACTTCTCTGTTAATGGTTTCCCTCTCGAAAAAAAAAATAACGGCGAAGCGTCTTCATCGTCCGAACACCACACTTTGACTGTGACCATTGGCGAGAAATTTGGTATTATCCACAACAAGTATATGCCTCGTATCATGGACAGGCCAGCATTATTCTCTTAGTGTAGGACTCTTGCACATATTTTTTTGTCAGAGAAAAATCGAAGACGACCTCTTGCATCTCTCTTGGGAAAATTAAAGGGCAAACGACATTGAACGAGCCTCGACTTTTCATCGGTCTCTTTTAGTAGTTGTTTAACTTTTATAATATATGACGTACATTTGTGGGCATTCAGTAATATGCTAAAGATTCTCGCGTAAAATAGTAGCAATAATAACAGCTAATCTTCGCTGAAATTCCGATGAACAAGCGCTGTTTTCCGCCATGGTTGTAAATTTATTTACAGTCTCGTTACAAAGTAAAAACGATTTGGAGTATCTCATAAATTATGAGATTTCTAAATCGGACTTTCATTCCGTTGTTTCAAAGGCTAAACCTAAAGGTATACGATTTTCTTGTGTGCTTCAAATTTGCCATTTCTGACAATTATGCATATTCTATGTTATTTCTGTTCACGGTCGTTACGTCTTCCATACGGGACCTAATAGTTCAGCGAGCCAAAAATCCTAAAAATACAACGGTTCACAGCAGCTGAAAAGTACAGGAAAGTAAAAAGACCAACCGTAAAAGCTCATCTGGATAAGCCAATTGGCGATGGATTATTTTTTTTCTCTAACGGCCGCTAATTTCTATGTCAGAGATCCAGTATTATCAGAAATGTTTTTGCATCATTTCGATAAGTTTCCAGTCTCCTTCAATTTTATCTGTTGAGGATCATCCAGTCAATCTCATAAAATTCTCCCTCGAGCTTTGCAAAAGCCGCATTAAAAGTGGCAATGGTAAGCGTTGTTGTCGGGCCAAAAAAGAGGTTTTTAATTTTGATGGGAGTTCATCTGGGTTGGATCAAAATCAATCTTCCTTCAATTTTGGATAATGACGCATTGCTGTCCACCATGACTGCACGTCTGTCTACCTCCTCCACTACAGACCAGTCGAAAAAGTTGGCGCTTAAGTCTAGAATTCTCTCTGTGTGTGTATATATACATAAACAGAGGGAGAGATTAGGTTGTTTTGAATATTAAACACCACAGAAGGTACGTAAAATTTGTTTATAGTGCAGTTCAGAATACCTGTTCTAAAATTCGATATAAAGCTTTGCAAGTCTAGATAGACTATCGACGCGGCCGTACTGGCCTTCTTTCATCTGTTTCGCTGCCATTACACCATCAAACTCTCAATAATGCTATTCACTTAGCTTTAACTTTATACTTGGAAAACGAGAATATTACAGAAGAAATATTATAGTTATACGTTGCGAAAGTTATACGTTGCTTTTCTAGAGATGCAACGTTTGAGTTTGTACGTGTCAGACGAAGGCTTAGAGAAGTCTCCATAAAAAAATCATTTCCTAGGTTACTTTTTCCAAAAAAAGACTGCTTTCTTCAATAAAATTTTGTACGCTAAGCAGACTACAGTGTTATGATCGGCGTTTGTTCTGCAACTAGAACGCCAACTTAACGTTGTCCTGTCCACGGCCTGCTGTTGCCTCAGCTACATTGGCCAGGTGCTATCTTTGGAGATTCACAGAGTCACTTAGCTCTTATTTTCCGTTTGCCGCGATTACAATGGAAGAGTAGGACCACTGATTTTCAAATTTAGCCACCATTTCTTAGAAGCTTTACATACGCTATGCTTTTTGCATTCCTGAGCATGGACATAGAATTTACCTGCTCTGATATTGAACGGCTCCTACAAAATGATATATATGCTCGGGAGAACAATTCTTACGAACAATTCTATTTAACATCAGGTAACCTACAAATGTTTTTCCCTATGGCATCCATATGACAAACTTAGCAGACATTGTAGGCCTGGCGCTCCTTTGTCTTTAAAGCCCTTTTGTATCGAGATTCAGCACACTAAAAAACGCGATAGACTATGGCGTGTTTTTGAGAGCTCTTCAAACAAGCGTTTCTATGCGAGTCACTTTAGCCACTTAAGTGAATTACAACGCAAAAAATCCTTTTGACTCCAGCTATTGTTAAGGGTGCGCTTTAAGGACTGGTCTTGTGTTGAAAAACTAGGGAAGATTAAATTAAAACAGAGCTGTTTATATTTCAATGGCTTTACTAAAAAACAAAGCTTAATTATAGCCACGTGCCCTTATCTGATATGGCTTTAAAAACTTATCTACCAATCCAATATGCTATGACACGCGATGCTAACTTAAATCTACTATAGAATTTCATCAAACTTTACTGTTACCCTTGACAGCTTTAAGTAGAAAACCTATATCATTTGTGGTAGATACAAATCAACTTCTGATAGCACCAACCCTTAAAGCATAACTGAGACAATGAATATCGATCGGCATCACAGCGGTCTGCTTCTCGGTCGTTGTCAGACACTACGAACCAAGTTTTCTCATACATTTTGTCCATGTTCTAGAAAATTGCACCGACTTAAAACGAAGCGGTGGCCAGTGGAAGAGGTATAACTATACTGTATGCAAATGGGGGCTAAGGAAATTTTTCATCATTGATGATAAGATTTTATCTAGTGAAGAATATATATATATAGAAGTATAAATAACATATACGATAACAACTGTAATAGGTGAACAATTTGCTTCTATAAATAGATTATATGTGAAAAGGCATTCAAGTTCCTGGTGGTTGCCAAGTTCCTGGCTTCTACTGCGTATTTGCATGATCTTATGACAAGGCTCACTTTGTCTAATCCCGGAGGCTAGGTGTTAAAGTGTCGCATAGATGCAAAACAGATATGTTGAAAACGGGTTTTATCATATAAAAATTAAAGGCTCTCAGCAAGAAGATATCCTAAACGTGTGCTGGAGACTATTTCTAGCATACTGGAACAGGAAAGCGTGTATAGTGATATGCATGTTAGAAAAATGTAACCGTGCGACCAGCTAATACATATTAACTACAAATAACTAGTTTTTAATTGGACGGAACCCAGAAGTTCAGAGCTCGTCGTCCCTTCACTTTTACATCAAAACAGTTAAAACTTCTAGATGAGAGAAAATAACTTGGTAACTTTCTGCACTGAATTTGTACTTCGAGGCGGGCCTAGGCATTTTTCTCAAATGTTGCACGCTAGCTCGAGTCTGTCTCCCTTTACCAAACCCTACATTCCCGACACTATTGCATAACCCTATCTTTTAAACTGATTAAGTAAACTGCGACATAGAGTCTTTTTCAGTTAAGTTTTGTCTCTTGCTTTAAAGAATTATTGTAGTTTTTAACGAAATGTTTATCTTGATAAATTAAAAGATACATTTGCTTGCAGTTAGCATTCTTAGAACCTGAGACCTGAATGGTTAGTGACAAAACACGTTCCCCGCTAAGAGGCAAATCTTTGAGGCCGGAACCGAGCATATATATTATTGTAGTATCAACCGCCATTTTCCAATTGTAACATTTAATTATCCAATTTTTTAACATGTGGTACTTCGAAAATAGAAACTCCTGATCGCTTCTTTAATTAGTCACTGATGTCCCCATTCGCACGATTAATCATTAGCAACGATTTTCCGTGTCTTGCTCATACCTAAACTGCATTCATAGATTTATCGTAATTACTGCCATTACGTCAATTTGAGCTCCGAGCAAAAAAAACGTCTCTTTACGTAATATCCACTGAACCTAATCCGCATGAACTTTCCATTCTCTCTCATGGGTTAACTGTATCGTGGCATACGCTGCCTTCTGAAATATCGGTTATATGCATTTCTATGTATTTTTGTTATCCATAAAACTTGCGTCCACCGGGACGAATGAATGCCTTTTAGACCACTCGAGCTGCCCAAGTAAAAATAAGTAATCTGAAAAATATCAGGAATAAAGAAGTGGCAACAAACTGTAGTTTTTGCACGCGATCATAGTGGTAAAAATCGTTTTTTTTTATTAAGCAATTTCAGCGACCATTGTTTCCTTAACTTTTGATCGTTTCAAGTTTTACATTCGGTATCACCGTTAGGCATACCATCAGATAACTTTTAACGCCTAGAGAACGTGATACCTCATACACATAGCAATCTAAGAAAAGTGCCAGTGTCGTATTCTACCGTAAAGGCGGCGATCGCTACCTTTGAGCGTTCTCAGCACTTGGGGTGCTGATCAAAACGATTCAATGTCAGGGTTTCAAAATAATTGCCAATGCACCTTTATGTGTATTATTATGAAGGAGAAACCAACAAGAGCCCTGTTTTTGTTACGTCAATGTATGACGTCATAACCAAATCTGGGTAAAACTGGACTTTAAAATAATGTAAAGAGCATTTGGCACTGATTCGCATAGTGTAAATGATTAAAGAGAAAAAACGTAACCCACAAATAATTTATTTTAAAACGACCGCAGTTTTGAACACCTTTCAAAAAATCACAGTCTAAATTTTGAGCAAACATGGTTCTTTTGTGGATCGCCCCCGAAAAAGCTCCGTATGTGTCGCATATATCGTGGAACTGCTTTGACGGTTAAGAGAAACAACTTCCAATATCAATACCTGTAAAATTTTCGTGCTACGCCGTCGCGCCCTTTATTATCTAACTTAGTTTTCCTGCCATACGACTTAACTTGGAGCCTATTTAACCCTTCTTGAAACTCGGGGGACTCTCGATACACAGGATCGTCGTCAGAAAATGCTGCAAGTCTGCTTCTGGAAAGAGGACAAAATATGGCATCTTCAGCCTGTTCGAACGCGCATAACATACAGCCTTTTCTGATAGCGGTAGAATGAATGAGCGATTGTAGCCACATTAGACTTTTGTTGAAACTGCCAATACGTGAGAAATCCCTAAAATTTATAAGTATATAGACATAGTCCGAAACCTACTTCTGCGTTTGGTATACAACAAATATACTTTACTTTTAAAAACATTATCTTTTCATTCCTTTTGTTCGAACTATTATAGTTTTCAAGAGTAATCAATACAAATATACCGAACGTATTCGTCCCAGGGAATTCAGTCGTTACCAGAACGATAAATGACCCCTTGTAAAGGGGTATATTAGATTATTACTATTATTATTATTACGTGCATCTTTTATTCATTTTAAAAGCGGCTTCGTTTAGGAAAAGGTGCGAGAACACTAAGTTATCGGGAAGAAGAAGGTGGTGATGTAGAGTTTATATTAGAACTTACCGTTTTGAAGATTGGGAAAACGTTGACTTTGGTTAACATTAACTTTATATTTTGATATTGGAAAAGGGTCCGGCATTATCAGTTTGATAAGCGTTTAATTTCAGGAAACAAGTCTTCTTATGCCTTTTTCTTGACGCTGATATTTTCTTGCACCTTTGATTCGATTTAGCCCGCATTGTCTTTCGCTGTTAAGCCGTAGAATCATTGCTATATCTAAAACTTATACCCCATTTTTTTTTTATATGAGTTAGCGCGAAAAGACCTTGAGCCAAGATTTTAGAAATGTTAGATTTATGCAAAAAGATACGTTCAAACTAGTTGTCCCATAATCCTGAATGCAAGTTCGTAAAAGGGAAATTTGTTGATCTGTAGCATCTTGACGACTTCATTGTAAAAATAATGTGGGATAATTAACATAGGGCAACTGCTGCAGAACAGAAAATAACTAAGAGTGTGTAGCGGGACATCCGCATCTAGTAACTGAATAGTCAAAGAAAAGAAATGAGATATAGAAACAATATAGTCGAGTTGCTAAAACAGAGAGTCATAATACCCATGAAATGCTTGGGACATTTTGTTTCGTTACTGAAATAAAATCTGGAGGGAAAATTGTGACTAGAAGCAAAAAAAAAAACAGTTGCAACGTGGTTAGGAAATAGCGTACAAGGCTAATGGAACTTTAATTGCTATGAACTTTAATACAATTTCTGGGTCTGCAAACCTAAATTTTTTTTGAGACTGCGACGAAATAGCGTTGTGCAATATCTGACACAAATGTACAATGCGAAACAGATGCGAAAAAAGGAAATAAATGCTTAAGCTCTGCGGGTGTTCGTAGATAAAAGTAAGTGGACTTGGTGTAATATATACGGTACTGTTTAGTATAGTTAAGGTTTATTTGCAATTTGGTCTCGATATAAAGTCGCCATGTTAAGCGCTGGATTCTGCCTAGTAGTATCTGCTCAGATCGTACTTAAACTTTAGATTTTCCATACAGTTAAAAGAGCTGATGGCTGATTCTTTTAATTTTTTTAGTTCGATGCAAATAATTCTTTTGTTTAAAGTGTAATAATACGATATAATTAAGGTGGTCTTGTTCGTATATTTGGCAGGCCGTATACGGTTATGTATATATATATATATAAATCGAAGTTATTATCAGTAGCCGCAGGTGGAATGAATGAATTCAAAAGCCTTCCCTCGTATTTGTCGGACTGCATGAGAGACGCCGTGTTCACCATTTTGAATAAAGGCAATGAGAACTTGAATACTAACATAACATTAGAATGCACAGCGGCTGGGGACTATAATTTGGTCTCGAGAAGTATTGTTGTCAAGGCTTTTGTCTCACAAATCTCAGAAATATTCATTCAATGGCAAAGAAAGAGCCGATATACGGGCGTAAAACCTTGACGGAAAAATCCAGAACCGCTCATTAATCAAATTACGGTAATTGCCAAGGATTTATTGAGATGGATCCGTAATTCGTGAATGCAATAAAAAAATTCAGATAATATTAAAAAGTCCGCACGTAATATTATTAATTGTTCTGAGCCATGTCACTCTTCCTTCCCAACGAAAAGATATATCCCAAACTCGTGTCCCGATAAAGCCATGCATTCGAAAAAATACTCCTCAGAAAAATGAATACTCACGTTGCGCAACCTATGGAAGATCTCATTGCCGTGTTCCCAAGGTATAACTTTCTCCCGCTTGCAATCGATGCCCCGCGTGTTGTTATTGTACACTTCGCCGCGCCGAAAATTCTTCGCGAAGATCGCCGGGTATTCGTTGAGCAGCTGCTTAAATGCACCCAGCATTACTCGAGTGCCGTCGTACATCAGCGCTGCTTCGGACTGCGTTTACCAAAAATAAATATATATAACTTATGAAGTAACGATACACACGAACGTCGTATTCAATTTTCTCGACTTCAATTTTTTTTTAATTTTCGCTAAAATTATCTACTAGGTAGGAAAAGTTCTGGCGCTTTTTTACTGAATACAAAACACCATGTTTTTTGTTTTAATGACAATAAGTTGTGTTCATAACTTTCTTCCAATATTCTATTAAATTATATAGGCCGTTTCATCAGAAATTTTTTAACCATGTTTTGGGTTGTTGATTCGAGTTGAAAGTAGAGCCCCGAAGGTGATCGCTCGGTGGCGTAGAGGAGAAGTGAAACTCCGTCAACGTACGCTCGAGAGGATAAAGAGGCTGCAATACAACCTGCTATTTGGAGTCCAGAAGAGTAGCTTTGATGACGTCTGCTGCGTGTGGCCTCGCACCGTGGTCATATAGGATGACTCGACCGTTTGTCGAGTCTCTTTTAGTGAACAGCTTGGTTGACTTGATGCAACTAGGCAATATATATGGGGCTATCTATTGTCTGGTTTGTAGGAAGTGACCAAACACAAAATATAATGTTTTCTGGATGAAGATTTGGAAGACCACTTATTACGATCTCTGATTTACGTAGGCGTGCAGACATTTCTTGTCATCATTGATGACAGTTTCGTGCAAAAATTGGTCATTACGGCGGTACGACGCTCGATACCAGACAAGCTATTAAAAAATATGGCGTTAAGCGGTAATTGCTTGTTGGATTCAGGAGGTTCAGGAGATACCCAAATTCTGAAGCTTCTCTGCAAACCCAAGAGGCGACGAGTTAGAGAGGGTTCTGTGGCTTCGAAATGCATTTTTTCAGCCAGTTACCGGGTTGTCAGTCGGCAGTTCTCTTTCAAAAGTGCCTTCAGATGGTCACTATCAAACTCAGCGATAGGCTAGAACGGACGGTTCCGGATTGGACTAAAGTACCGTTTCCAAACCTAGCAAACCACTTTTAAGCAGTCCTGGTTCGGCAGCGCTTTGGTCGAAATACATTGTAGAGACAACGTTAAGAATGCACTTTTTCCCATTTGAGATGTCCAGACCTGAACAGCCTTATTGAGTTAAAATCAGACTGAGAACACTATAATGTTGCAGTCCTGCTGATAAAACAGGAAGCGCGCCTTCGAACGGTATATCAGAAGTAAACAACAAATAAGTGACGCAAAATTGGAAAGAGATACATATCCTAAAATGCGAAAATTTTCCTTCTAACATAATACGTTGGTTTTTGGCTATAGATGAAAAACAAAGTATATATTGAGATAATTTTTTCCGCAAGAATTTCTACGAGCATCAAATTGAAATTTAAGACTCTAAATAACAATCGCTTGGTAGGTATTATTTTATCGCCGAGTATACATCACTGCGTAAACTTGGCAAAGAGGTTTGGTTAGTCTATCTTGCAATTGCATTATCGACTTAGGCTATTCGTAAATTCGGCACACGTTCAACAATTTAGGATACATCAACAAGGTAAGTTAACTGAAGTTATGCGAGAGCGGTTCCAGTCGTTAAACGGTAAAGTTGTAACAAAGGTTAAAACATGACGAGTAAGAGTTTAGCTTGTCGCACCTTATTAAACCGATATACGAAAATAAAAAATATAAGACAAAAAAATTTAAAAAATATAAGGAAAAATATCAACTTCAATCGCTACCAAAGAATGGTATATTCCTAACTTATCATATACAGAAGCGTCTTGATCTATACAAACGTGTCCGGGTAGATACCACAGGGAACAAAGGTCTCGTTTAGAACTAGCAGAAAGATTACGCCATTGAACCGCTGATGTTAGTTCAGCTTGCCCCATCTCAGCAAGTGCATTTGTACGGGAACTAGTTTTAAATCTTTTTTTTTTTTTAATTTAATAGAAGGGGCTGGCATATAATCATCAGTAGAAGGGCATTTACTGCAAAAAGCATATGCTGCTAAATATAATTTCTTATCAAAAATTTTGTGAATGAGGAATCCCTGGATGAACTCGCTAATAACCACACGCATATATTAATACTCAGCGCTGAATTTTATTTCACGTTTCCTACACTCAACTTGATTCCAGTACTATTTTACGCGAAAATTTCAACTTAATGTATACCACGCAGTCACTGTTAGACTTCAGTAGTACTATCTTTTCTCGTCAATTACTTTTGGCAAATTACCAGTATCTCTTTATAAATAAAGATTGTATAATTTATTTGAGTCCGTCACCCACTGCAAGAAAGAACTAAGTAAATAAAATAATAGTATCTTACAAGCTATCTGGGCCCCAGATGTTTAACATTTGTGTGCAATGTGTTCAGCTATGAACAGCAATGTCTGTGCAATTAATATATACATTGCGCTTTGAGTATAACTTCAAACTGTCATCTTTTCAGAAGTGCGTAATTTTATAGATGTCCGGTCAGTTATAATCTATAAAAAAAAAATACTCATTGAAAACAACCTCCCAATATACCTACCTATCGTTTTTTGATCCCCAATACGATTAATGTTTTTTATGATGGATACAAAAGAGAAGTATGCCGTGTTACGTGTCTAGCTTATTTAAAATAGCTGAATTACTTTTTCTCAAGGATCCTTAGCTTATTACATGCAAATCGCTCCGGTGCGCCGGAAAAGTAAAGGGCCACCTTCCGCTGCATCATTGTAGCCTTAAACTTTTTCGTGCCTAGACTGAGCAATTTCTGGCCGGACTGTTTATCTTTATGATTTTCTTATCTAAATCCGCAATAGAACTGGAACATTGTGTTGTAAGTTGAGGCCTGCAAGCGAAAAAACTTTGCTTTATAGAAATATATATTCTGCTAAAGGCGTGAGCGTAATAAATATTTTGTTGGGTTGAAAGTAATGGAATCTATCTGAAGCGTGCATCTGGAGGATTAACTCCACACCCACAATGGTTATACTCAAGACTCACAGTGATCGTTTTGGTCTTAGGATCAGGCCATTGATGACGACTCTTTTCCGTAAATACTTCCTCGTAGGCGCGACTATTGTTTTGAACGAGGCGGAATCCAGTGATATTCACCGCTCCAAATTCTATAGCCGGATTGTTAGCGAACTCATCCATTATCTGTAATACGACAGTAGTGAGAGACCCAATGCGATACCACTGTAAGTACACCGAAATATAAGAAGCTCTCTATAACCCTGTAGACAAGGTGTTCAGGTAAACTAGTTAAGGCTTTAACCTAGATGAACATTTTGATATATCAAGGTTTTTCCAGTGGCAACAATCGAACTCACTGTATAATATATAAAAATGGGAAAAGAATAGGTTTATAGTAAAGAAAAAATGTAGCTGCACAGTTCAAGATCCATTAGCCTAATTAAGAGACTACATTCTTTCGCTTTGAGAACCTGCGTCTTTCCACACTACAAGATCACGTTTGTCCTATCCTGTGCATATTTAAATAACCTAAAATACTTCTGATTAAGCTCGCTAAAAACACTTATAATAAATAAAGAAGATATTTTGTATTCCTTTGTAAGGAAAATAATTATGCCTGACACAAAGCTGTGTCGGAAAGGAGCACCATGTCTGTAATAGAGGTTCCAACTGTGGGGAACACGGAACCTTTAGAACAAATCCTCATTTTAAACTGCAAGGGTAAACACTGACCAATCCACCAAGTAGAAAATGAAAAGTTCTTCTGCCCACGATAGGGTGTTTCACATGCTTAATAATGATCTCTCGCGTCAGGTTAGCCTCGCAATCGATGACCACATGCTTGAGTTGGTCTCGAGTCTCATTGTCGTAGTTGACGAGAAACTTGTTCGCCTCAGACGCTGATGTCACCCTTCGAACCTGTTTTCGGCCACATTAAGGCCCGTTGCAGAAGCACGTTGTCGTAGTCAATGTCAGGATGAGGCATTTCAGTTAAATTCGGAAAGTAAACCCGCCAAGGTGTGATTTCGACATGCATGAAACGCAGAGATTGTAAACAACCGTGGTTAGAATCTGAAGCGCGTTGAAGCTCGACGTGGCCTTATTAAATACTGCACATTTGCGTTGCAGTATTCTAAAGGTCGATGTGTCAAAACGCTAACTAAATAAATTGTTTGTAGCACGTGATAAATTGTGCAGTACACAGGAGAGTGACCTTTTGAGGGAGACTACACCATGTTGGAAGTAATTGTCCTCTCTCATAGACACAAGATTACGCTACCACTTGGAACCTTCGAAGATTCAGCTCATCTTACCTTAATTATTTCCAGCTTGTACTCGTCCGTCGTCAGCTTGTAGAGGTTTTGCAGCTTCAACAATCCTGAAAAAACAAAATAGGGGCGAAAGAAAAGGGATCAAGTATTGAAACTATTAATTGTAAAAATATACATACGAACATTGCTCGATATCAGCATTTCACAATGGAAATGAAATAGTGTTTCAAATAGGAGTTTCGCTACGCCGATTTTAGATGACAAAGCGCTTTCCTTTTTCTTTGAAGTGTAGGTTCCGCTGTTTGAGATGAGCGTCACTGGCACATAGTTCCAAGCGACACTCAGCCGCCCGGACAACTTCCGTGGAGTCCTACTAAGCTGCTGTTTCGCCGACGGCTGATATTATTCATCACGTATCAGTACGATCCTGGCTGGGAATCTGCTTCGAGAATTGACTGGTGTCTATTTATTTAGGATTATTTTTACCTTCCATTTATTACACAGCAAACATTTTTTCAGGCGCACGAAAGGTCAGTCGCAACCTAAAAGTGCAGTCTTTACATGTTGCCTAACTTGTGCTTTTACATATTGCTGTAGGCATAAGCTGTCTATTTCGATAAGAATCGAACATACTTCAGATATTTTAAAGAGTTATACAATTCAACAATAACAAATTCAACTTTAGAGTTATATTCCGTATAATATTTTTTCTTCTCATTATAATAATAACAGAAATCGAGCCGTCTGTTTCGATACAAAAAAGGGGAACAGAGAGCATCGGACTTGCTTAAAACGTCCCATGCAATTAATGTTTGTATTTAAATTATGTTTAGTGTTGGCTCCGAGTATGTGGTATCATTTTTTGAAAAGGCTTAATTTATCCCTGACAAAGTTGTCCATGTAGAGGTACGTCACCATCGTCAGCGTGCGTTAGCATGTATACAATGCTATGTTATTTGGAAAGCCTCATAATGCCCCTTCAGCTAAATTCGGGGATCCGTGGACTTGTTCCTTTATAAATTAAAAACGGCTCGAAACATTGACCAGTTAGCAGATATCAAACAAAACAACTGTGCTTTCAACTTAAAGGCTTGCTTTTTGTTTTATCAGTTGGATGGCCATTGTCTGATTTGATCTAATGGGCACAGCCGAGGCTGTAATTTGGAAGAAAAAGGCATGTTTAAATATATCTTTCTCTTAGTTCTAACAAGTAAAAGCTGTCTGGAGTACATTACATGCAGCAGTGTAGTACATATAGCAGTAAAGAGAATTACGCACCCTTCGATCAACTAGTTTATTTTCAATAAATGTTATTAGCGCAACCATCAAGGTTTTCTCTTCAGTCTGTCAACGATAGCGAAAATGTCGATAACTGGACCAGTTTAGGATTTTCATGAAAAAATTAAGAGTCTCTTTAGTAGACGAATAGAAGTAATCCTACCGCCCTGGTAGGTTTGTCCAGCAAGTTTCGATTTTCCAGATTCCATAGTTCTAATTAGCCGTATCGTATCAGAGTCAAGCAAGAGGCAGAAGATGAATGATTAGTATGAAAACCATCTATCTCAAGGGTACCCAAACTCGAATTTCCCAAGCTACTGACACGGTATACACAGGGTGTCCCAAAAATGTATGCACTGCTGTCTCTTTTCCGGGTGCAATTAATTGCAAATGAAAAGTGGTTAACTTTTTATCGCAGAAAATGTATCTTGAAATACTAATGGAAGTACGAGGAGGCAACAAAAACAATGTCGCAAGGGGTTTCAGGCAGATTCACCCCCGTGACTTACAATTAATCGGGTAATAGCTAAGTTTGAAGCGGGTGGAATAACTCAGAATGTTCATAGACCACATTCCGGAAGGCTAGGAACACGAACGAGCTTCACCAGGTGAGAAAGAGTACTGGAAAGTTATAGCGAAACATCTCAAGAATCTGTAAGGCAATTTAAGTGGCGAGCTTACCATTAACAAATTAAGTTTACACCTTATTCCAAGAACTTATGCAATCATGATACAAGCTAACCATGAAGATGATCCCAATCGAAGAAAAAAATTTTGCGAAGGGTATCTGGAAGTGTGCGAAAAAAATGCCCAGCTTTCAGGAAACGTTCAATACGATAATAAGACACATTGAGAAATCACACGAGAAATTTACATAATTGCACTTGCTGAGTCATTATGAATTTACATATTATGCAATAATACCATGCAAATTTATCAAGAGTTAGAGCGATTTGACCTTTCAAGCAAAAAGTCGTTTTTTCGACAGTACTTTGAGTCGTTCCTGAGTTCACTCAGCACCTGAACTCACTGCAGGAACCTGCTTTACCACGCATTCGGGTATGAAGATGCCGAATCCTATTTCCAACAAGACGACGCGTCTGCATATGATCATCGGGATGTAAAAGCGCACCTTGATCCAAACAGATGGGTTGTACAAAAAGGCTCCATACAATGTCTTGCCGGTTCACTATGTCTGGCGCCAGTAGAATTTTTCTTATGGAAGCACTTTTAAGACAAAGTCTAAGCTAGAAAAGTGACGGCATTAAAAGCTTTAAAAGTACCAATTGAGGAAAGATGCATCATAGGATCAGATGAATTGTTTGTTGAAGTTTTTAAAACGACAGCCAACTATTATTACCCAGACGGTACTAATATTGAATATCTACTGGAAGAAGAAAACGTACACATTTTGTACCGATTCTTTTTGAAATTTAAATAATAATAATAATAATTATATATAAATACTAACTGAAGTTATAATCATTAAAACTATATATACGTTTTTTTTTTTACGTCCAATCACAAAATGTGTACTCTAAAAACACTACAGGATGGCGCACGCCTTCGTTAGTCTACTAGCGGTCCACGCTTATCGTAAAGCCTTGTGATAGCACAACTACTTTTGCAAACGCCATATAACACATACATACATACATATAAATTGACCATAGGATAATTTCGCTAGAATATTTTTTTACCAAAAGCGTTATCATTATCATTTCCAATGCCACATTACTCAATATGTTGGTATTCGTATAGGTGTTATGCCCCTTACTTTTTTGGGAAGGAGATTCGTCATATCTCTCTTCCTACACGTTTAAATGCAAGTGGTTATTGCTGTTGGGAAACTCTAGATGTTGGAGGCAGCGTAATTCCACTATGGAAAATATGTGATGTGCTTAAATTTTATGATTCCAAGCGTTTTTCTGTTGAATTCTTTTTTTCAAAAATTGAAGAAGCTAGGAGCATCTGAAGCTTCTTTAGTGAGAAGAAATAGTTTTTAGGTAAAGCAGAGAATTCCACGCGAGACCAAAAATGAATCACGGGTTATATCCAGAATATATCAATGAAGCCTTTGGCTGGTTTGTTGCATTGGCGGTAAAAGAATCGGTCACGGTATGAATTCTAGCGAATGACTTGATGAAATTAGCGAGTGAAACTGTAGTCTACTATCACAATTATCCTGCACAAATTACCAAATTGTACAACCGTACATTCTGTAATATCCAAAGGGTCTATTTTGAATAGAAACCAATGGCTGTAAAAAAACTCTTTACCCTCTAGAAAGCCGGTTTAATTCATATACAGCTCACGTGTAGCTGAGCTGTTATAGACCAACTGTAAGTAGATAGCTTCGATCCGTGTGTGCGTTGATAAATTCAGATATCGGCACACCTCCGGACGTAAACACAGTTCGTTTCGTGTCGGGAGCGAGCCATCTGATAAAATGCTTAACGATGACACCGGACTTAAAACTTGAAATTACTAGTTTTAGTTGTACTTTAAAAGGGCTTCTAGTGTACTTTGAATAGTCGCCTAGAACATCTCCTATATTTCGATTACCTATGTAATACCTATGTAGCTAGCACACAAGTTTTTTTAGTGGTTTGGTTTTGTCTGTGAAAACTTCATGGCATTATTAGAGCGAAAGTAAGTAAGATAAGATAATAGGATTTACTTAACTTTATTTTGGTACATCAATTTTTGTAATCTCCTTCAACAAAAGCTGAATAATATCTTATCGTGCCTAGTGTATATCCTAATGCAGCTCCACGAACATATGGAAATACCATCAGTTTGCCTTTATGGTAAACTCTTATTGAGGTACCTAAAATTTCCTAGCGTGCAGCAAAAACTATTATCGTCGTACTGGTTACTACAGGAAAAGCAAGCATCATTTTAACCGTACTTTTATCCAAAATAACTAGAAGCGTTATCGATAATAGCTTCTTTGTCAAGATTTTCAATTTTTCGTCGATTCGTATTTACAAATATGCGTTGAAAAGAAGCTTACAGTAAAAAGGTGTAAATAATAAAAATATTTCGAAAAATAGCAACTTTTCAAAATATTGTATAGATAATATTATATATTATATATAAATAATAGTATATATAGGAATTATCAGGCTTCCTAATATTGTTTTTACGTTGTTGTACCTCGCCGTCAGATAAACGTTCTATCTCATAAACATTTCACACATTTTAGCAATAATTAATTATGTACGCCTTACGAGTTTCACCAATCTCTCGACAAATATACTTACTCTGCCAGAAATTTACCAGCCAGGAATTTTTAGATCCGATGTTAAATATATTATATAGCTAATTTTAGATGTCCTGTCCATTGTCAAATGCACTGTTACTAATTTGAATTTGTCCTAGTGATCGGAACAAGCAAAAGTGGGTTGGCGCTAATTGTGATGCGTGCAAAAAGACTTTCCAAGCCTCTGAGAAGCGACCTTAACAACCTTGGCCCTACGTTACTGGCAGTCGTGTGGAAAATGATCACTTCGCCTTGTCTATCGGCTCTTTTCTGGTAGATGGCGTTGGTTAGTTCAGAAAACTGACTACCAAGCCATAAAATAGTAATTTTTTTCAACCGTCTTGTTTTCCTTAAGGATTTTTTCAGTTTATGACCCTTGCAGTCCCACCGAAAACGATTGATTACCCGGCTCTGGATTACGAAATCTGGGCTTAAGCGTACCTCTCGGAGCTAGGTATCCCTTTCTTTGTTGGGCTAGAAGCACGACTTCTCGTTACGAATAATGCATAGAATCTTTTATTGTGACTTATGTTGCTCGGTGTCAGGTGAAATGTTGGAAAATAA